TCTGAGAAGCCCAGGAGGGCGAATGTGGCCTCAGAAGTTATATTTCTCTCTGTCAGAAACATGTTTCCCTTTGGGGCAATCTGAAAATCAATGTTGGAAATAAAATATGGAAAGTGATTGACACATAAAGCATGCTTAACTATCCCCTTTGCAGAATATAAGGTGAGACAAATAATTCTCTGTTATTGTCCTGCTAAAAGCATCATGACAGGAGGAACCAGAGTTTCAGAAATAGATTATCAAATAAATATCAGTTTCTCAAAAATTGTAAAATTAGTTCTGCTCATGTTCTTAATATAACTTTAAAAACAAACAAGTGTAATAATTATTAACTCAAGCAATTTGGATGCTAACATGCAATCAAACCCTCATGTAGGACACTAAAATCTCACTGAATTTTAGGAATTCTGCAAAGAAAAGTCTAGCAAAATGAAGTAACTTGTTATTTTAGTACTATATTTACTGAGGAAAAGTGGAAGCATCTGAAATAGCCTCTATAATTATAACTATTGTTCATGTAATAATATGTGCATATATTATGATCTAGTGAAAGAGTAGTCCTATAATTATCATTTATATCCATGGTTAATTATTAGTTTACCATTTTAATTATTATTCCTCTTTTTGACTAAATAGATCAAACAAAAGTCAACAATATTTTATGTTTTTTCAACAATGACTATCAATTGAACAGCTTTATTCTACAGATGAGTAAATAGAAGTTTGAAGAAGTTATAGCTTGCCCAATGACATATACATATTGGATGATCAATGAACCCAGTGTCCTTGACTCTCTTAGTCATATATCCAGTCCTCTGTGTCAGTCTTTCATTACACATAGAGATCTTAACATTTTATTTTGTAACAATCACATTTTCATACTTCACTTTGTAATTCTTTTGACCGCCTTTCAGACAATCTTTAGATTATAAACTATGGAAATCAGTTCAGTGGAAATGATGAGGACTTCAGAGATGTTCTCAATATCTGTATCAAGATGAAACAGAGAGAATGGAAGTTACAAAAATGGCCCCATTCAGAAATAAGTATTATTAAAAACCCATAAAGCTTGACAAAGACACTTTCTTTTTCTAGGCCTTTCTCTCATTTCCCTTTAAGTCAGCTAGAACAATTCATTATGTCCCTTTATTACCTGTCAAGAATAGGAAGGAGAATCTTACGATGTCATCACACTCCTAAGACATCCATGAGAAAGGAATTTTTAATACAAAGAGAATGGTGGGGTTTTTCAAATTTATGCCCAGGTAGCGTTGTCAGATAAAATGCAGGGCCTTAGTTAAATCTGAATCCTAAATAGATAATGAATTGTTTCCTATAAGTATGTCTGAAATATTTCATAGTACATAATCATAGTAAAAATATTATTTGTTTATCTGAACTTGAAATCTAATTTGGCATCCTGTATTTTTGTTTGCTAAATCTGGCAACCCTATATCCAGAACAACTCAGAATCTTACAGTAACCAACACATCCTGGTTCACCTGGAACTTTCCTTGTTTTAGTACTGTAAGTTACTCATACCAAGAATCCCCTGCATCATATCCCCTTATAATGAAGACCTTTTATGCAAATTGTTGTAAGACGTAAGGTCATCTCTGATTCTTCCATCCAAGAAATATGTTCGAAATGTCCCAGCACTAAAGATCTTAGGTCACATGCAACACTGATAATTCTCCATGGTGCTACATGTTCATATGTCCAAGGATTTAAGGACCAAGGAGAAGGCAATATTTTCCAGTCAATCCTATCATAAAGCTCATCCTTATTGCTCTATTTCAGGGTTTCTAAACTTCAGCAGTATTGATATTTTCATGCTGGATTATTCTTCACTATGGGAAGCTACCCTGTGAAGTGTAGCATGTATAGCAGCATCTCTGGTTTCTATCCACTGGATGAGAGCCTCACTGTCCCCAACCTCAGATGTGAAAATCAAAAATGTCTCCAGACATTGTCAAATGTCCCCTTTAGGAGCAGGATTAGGGAACGCATAATTTTCTGTAGTTAAGAGCTACTGCTTTATTCCCTTCATTCTAATAGATTGCAATGTTTCTTCTGTTCTAATTTACTTAAGACTAATGCGCAATTTAAATATCACGGTTCACTATTATATGGATTAAACAATTTGTATTATCTTTGAATCCAATCCAGGCAATGTGGTATCTAAAATCTTTTTCCTTAAAATATCTTCTCATTTTCTTTTTCTTTTTGCCCTCATGAGCCAGCATTTTTTCCCTTGATCTACAATCTTATTCAGATTGAGTCATCATTATGGTGTTTCTCCAGAAGGTTCATTTTATGCTTTTTAATTTATTTTTATTTAAATACTTATCTGTCTTATACAACTCTTCTAAAAATTTACAGAAGCAAGGGGGTATATATTGCTGAAAACTCTTAGGGACCTTCTATTCTCCAATTCCCAGGAAACAGCTGTTCAGGTCAATACCACCAAGAAAATCAGCTAAGCCAGGCCCTCTAAACAAAGCTCTATACCAAGTGTAGAAAGAGTACACTTCCTGTTCCCCAGATGTCCAGATACATACTGTCTACAGTGACTTGAACTATCCCCCAAATTATGTTTCCCATGCAGAAACCACAAAACCTAAGGCATCTTCTATATACCTTACATAGAAAAGAATATCTGTTTTCTCAGACTTACACACAAACCTGCTGGTGGAAAAGGCAGCCCCCTCCTGCCTCTGGAGAGCGTATTTGGGGGAGATGCTAAGACTTTTATTTCTACTGTCACTCCCAGTGGCATTTTGATATAGAAAAAATTGTTTACCTAATTCCCAGGGGCCTCAAAACAAGCAATTAAAATTAAATATTCTTTTCTGATGTAATTCTGGTTTCATGGAAAACCTGAAGGAAAATACTAGCAGCTTTAGACGCATTTTATATAAAAGTTAACTTAAAAGTTTAAATGTCCTCTCCCTGTGCTTCCTGATCATTCCCATAATCTCCCTTTCTTTGTGGGTGTAATAACAAATTATAGCAGGAATTATCTTTTTTCTTTACTCAACAACTATTTCTTAAATATCTGCCATGCCCCTGGTCTTTGCAAAGCCTAACTTTCCCCTTGTTAATCACCTTAGAGAAGGAGGGAGATTCTGTCTTCAGGTGTCTGGGCTACTCCGTTATATTCCTGCCAGGGATATTAGTTGCAGAGCATCTCTTCGTATATACTGAGGACAGGACTACAAATGTTTGGAATTAGTTTCTCGGTGTCCCCAGAAGCAGTTACATCTGGCTAGAACCAGTATATTAGAATGTTTAAAGTTATTGCCAACATCCCAAATATCCTGTAAGCAAATATAATGTCTACTGTGAAATTTTTCTTTGCTTCTGATTGATCATACAACTGTCATCAAGCCATTCAGACTCTGAAATCCCTTCAAATGCCACATTTCCATGAAATTCTTGATTATCTTCTTCATCACCACTGACAATTCTTTAGGTCCTATTATTATCTAACGGTTGTACTGTTCAATAGACTCCAAATTGGTCTTTATGCCTATAAATTCATCTTCATATATGTCTGCTGCACTGACCTTAACATAACTCTTTACAAAATAAATCAACTTATATTTATATATTTTTTGAAAATGCATGAAATATCTCTGGATGCCCATACTAGGTATTTTTCGCATGGCTGAGATAAAAGAAGAGAAGTAGATCATGTGAATGTATCACTTATTCAAAAAAATTAAGTACATCAAATAAGTGTAAACTAAACTAAAATAAATAAATTTTAGTTTATTTTTAGGCCTTTAGTGTAAGGATCAAATAGTCATGAACTGGAAAGTCTTGACTATGCTATGAAAATTCAATTTAAAAAGCTATAATGACCAAATAATTCTCCTGTTTGTAAATTTGAGTGACTCCCAATCTCTTGTATGTGCATTTCCATGTTCCTAAAAATGTCATCCAAAGGCTACTGTACTAGACTTATTCTCCCTCACTTTTCTGTACAAATTTTAGTCTCCATAAATATCAATATCTATCTTGTTTTACACATCCGCGCATTTGTGTTATGTCACATCAACTTGTCTATAGTTAACTCACCATTTAGCTTATTCATACATCAAAACACTGCTGAGTTGTGAAACCTTCCGTGAAACATTTTCTGACTCCACCAGACCAAGTCCATTTTTCTCTGATGGTCACCACTTCAGTGAATCAGCATTTGTTTCATTAGTGCTCTGGCCACAGTGTGCTGTAGTTATCTGTTTATGCATTTACATGGCTTTCCCTCCAGCTAGAGTGTGGATCCTGGACACTCTGTGCTATGACCTTAGACCTTTGTTATAAGGATCAAATATGCTATGCTATGCTATGGAAATTAAATTGAAAACATATGATAACATGGACCCCAGTGTTCTCTTTCCTGACAGAATTCTAGCAAAGAGCATCGGCATTTTAGTCCATATCATATTTAATCGATTCTAAGACACACTTGCATCTATTAATATTATAACTTCTCTGTGATTGTGTATATCTTACCATTCATAGTACAGAAGTTATCATGTCATAGCTTAATTATCAATTTTTATTTATTGTGGGAATGTTTAATGATGGTAAGTCTTGTAATAAGTGAATTATGAAATGCTAATGGACACGAAGAAGAAAAGTATGTGGTGAGGAGTATTTCAGAAGCAGCATTTCTGAGACTTGGAAATAGTGTTATCTTCTATATGATTAATAATAGGACCATCATTAATGTGAAGGCATACATTAAAAATAAAATGTGATCTACTCTTCTGAAAGGAGTATTTCAAAATAAATGTTATCGTTGAAATTGAATTCACTCATATTTTCAACTTTGAAGCATGTTTAATATCTCTTTTAAATTTAAAAAGCACAAAGATAAATGAATCAAAAAGACTTGCTCACAACTACAAAGTTTCCTTAATTTGCTCTCAAGTCTAACACTGCAGCCCTCCTACACTTAGGAATCCTGAACCCTGCTAATAAAATATCCTCTATGAATATATTTTGGAGCCCAGCACTTTCCTGAGAGCTTCCTTTACATCCCTGTTCCTCAGGCTGTAGATCAGAGGGTTCAGCATGGGAATCACTACAGTGTAGAACACTGTGGCCACTTTGTCAGCATCCCCACTGGAACCAGAATTGGGCCGGCAGTAAATGGAAAGGATTGTTCCATGGAAGACCACAGTGGCCGTGAGGTGGGAGGCACAGGTGGAGAAAGCTTTGCGCTTTCCCTCTGCAGAGCGCATCCTCAGGATGGTGATGAGAATAAACAAGTAGGAAGTGAGGATGATCACTATGGTAATGACTTCATTGAAACTGGCCACAATGAACAGCAACACCGCATTCACAGTGACATCAGAGCAAGCAAGTCTTAAGAGAGGGGGTAGATCACAGAAGAAGTGGTTAATCACATTCGATCTATAAGATGGGATCTCAAGGGCTAAGCACAGGTGGATTAGAGAACACAGTGTTCCACAGAAGTAGCAGCAAGATACCAGCTCCACACAGAGTTTCTGAGACATGGTGACCATATACAGCAGTGGATTACAGATGGCCACAAAGCGGTCATAGGCCATCACAGCCAGCAGGAAGACCTCAGTGACCACGCATGTGCAAAACAAGTAGAATTGCATCATGCATCCCAGGAAGGAGATGGATTTGTCTTTGTTGAGGATATTAGCCAACATCTTTGGCACGATGATTGAGGAGTAGCAGAAATCTATAAAGGATAAGTGGCTGAGGAAAAAATACATTGGAGTATGAAGCCCAGAGCTCACGTGAATCAGTGCTGTCATACCCAGGTTGGCCAAAACTGTGACTCCATAGATAAGAAGGAACATGAGTAGTAGGAAAGCTCGCAGCTCAGGGGCATCTGACAATCCAAGGAGAATGAACTCCGTCACACTGGTGCAGTTTTCCTTGCCCATGTGTCAACATTAGTTGGGATTGGAGGAAAAATCCTTCAAAGTCATTCTCTGTTATATGATCCAAAATAGGGTCTCTCCTATAAAAAGGCATCAGAAGTTGTACATTTAATTTTATCAACAAGAATAGGACTTTGGTGAAGTTTAGGGAAAATCAGACATTGTATACTATGGATGCATAAAACTCACAGTTCTGAGATCAAATTAAAATATTAACATTTATATGAACTGATATGATTCTTATAATAAGTTTTTCATAATTGAGAGCCTGTCACTGAATCACTGGAAAAGAGGTGAGACTATTATTTAATTAGCTTTATTGCTCTGTGAAATTCAAATGCCTTTTTCATCACAGACTCCACATTTGGATCCCAGGAAATAATATTTAAAATATATAGTACCGTTCTCTGAATTTCCCACTGAAGTAATGAGAGATATTCTTATTTAAGATTGTTAACCCACAAGTGCTCATATTTTGCTGTTATATTTTAGATGGAGAAAGTAGTTTTTATACTCTGTCTTGGCATTACCTCTATAACATTTGCGTAGCACTCCAGTTAATTACACTCTTCAGTATCAGCCATGGTTCCGGGAATTGATACTCTTGTATACATTATTGTACCTATGACTCTTTAGCCTTAAAAAGATATACTTCATAAATGAACATACTGCTTTGAATCTATTTGAAGAATTGATCAAAGATGCCTATATGGAATTATTGTTAAGTGTGTGCTGCTACACAGCAGCATTATTTATGGCACTAAAACTTGGAAATAATGTGTCAAACAAGAGGGAAATGATCGAAATTACAGCATATATGTGATGAAAAATATGCAGGTAATAAAATCATTTTAATGACATGAAAAATTACTGTGATAAGACAGAACCTAAAAAACAGTCAGCCATATAGTACAGACAATACACACACACACATGTAAGCTGCATTACATAGTTAGTCCTTATAGCATCCATGGACATAAATATTTTATTCCTATTGTTTATCAAAGGAATCTATAAATTGCCTGAATTTTCACAAATGTAAGAATTATGTGGTGGAGTGGGGACAAAGGTAGAATTTTTTTTCTAATGAGGGACCCATACCTGCCAGGCCTTTGAACGTAATAAATTCAAAGAGACTATAAGATACCCCTTATTTATTCTCTCTTTTCCCAACCTTTGGTAGATGCCTATGAGACTGTAGAGGCACCAGTCAGCTATTGCTGGAGGAAAAATAACTGGACTAGAGACCAAGACAGCCTGGTATTTTTTCCATTCTTCAACTGATTTCAAAGATGTGCAGGATATGTATATTATGAAATCCTAGCTGCAAACATGCAATTGTTCTGATGATATGGTTTTCTCTCATCAAATGATGAGGAAAAGTGAGTTATTTGTCTTTCCCTGAGGTCAAAGCAGTTTTTAATTTTGAAAGCCCTTTCCTGTTTTCAAATCTAAACATGACAAATCAGGAAGTTAGTTGTCCATAGAGCGGCGTGTCTTTTCCAGGGGTGACTCTGATTCCTACAGGATATTTGTCAATGTCTGGAGACATTTTTGGTTGTCACAACAGGGAGCGGTTAATACTGACACCTAGTGAGGATGCTGCTAAATGGTCGGCTATACTCACGAGGGTCCCCACCCCACAACCCCTCCCCTGGACACACACAACAAAACAGGTATATGCATGCACAAAGAGTGCAATGCGCACCACCCGAAGGATGGACATATTTGAAACTCGGACTTAGGCGGCGGGGGGGGGGGACACACACAACAAAACAGGTATATGCATGCACAAAGAGTGCAATGCGCACCACCCGAAGGATGGACATATTTGAAACTTGGACTTAGGCGGCGGGGGGGGGGGGGGGGCCAAGGGCAACATACGTAACCTAAACATCTGTACCCCCATAATATGCTGAAATAAAAAAAAAAAGTAAAAG